GTAGCTGGAAATACAAGCGTGCGCTACCACGCCCGGTTAATTTTTTGATTTATAGTAGAGATGAGGTCTCGCTGCCCAGGCGGGTCTCGAACATGCGGGCTCAGGCAATCCACTCACCTCAGCCTCCCAAAGGCGCAGGATTACAGGCTGAGCCACCGAACCCAGCAGTTCTTCTTTTTTTTTTTTAAGTTGGTGTCTCACCCTGTTGCACAGGTTGGAGTGCAGTGGCACGATCATGGCTCACTGCAACCTTGACCTCCTGGGCTCAGGCAATTCTGCCTCAATCTCCCTAGTAGCTGTGTGCCACCATGCCTGGCTAATTTTTTGTTTTATTTTTTGCACAGATGAGGTCTCACTATGTTGCCCAGGTTGGTGTCCAACTTCTGGCCTCAAGCAGTCCTGCCACCTTGACCTCCCAAAATGCTGGGATTACCAGCATAAGCCATCATACCTGACCAGAAAGCTTTTATTAAAAGATAGTCCACATCACATTGTGCAGTAATCTACATTATCTAACTGTATCTGGGCAGAAATCCTTAGTGTTATCATCACCTTGCATTTGTTTTAAGTCAGCTTTGATACAACACGTATGTAACATCTATCTTTGTGTACACTCTTAGGATACAAACACACACACACACACACACACACACACACACACACACACACACACGTGGAATGTGAGTATTGGCCCCACTCTCCATCCTCCAGCTTAATTAGATGACGACTCCACATGAAATCATCTGAGAAATGTTATTTATTGGCCCCTAAGCATTCAGCCATTTTTTGGATGTCTTGCAGCATGCCTCTGCCAAGAGCAATAAAATCCGGAGTTATGTTTTTCTTTCTCACAGTGGGCAAGAGAAAATTTATGACATCGTGTCAGAAACAATTGAGAAGGACTTTCCCGCATGGTTCAGGTCTGTGGTGGGATACATCAGCAGCCCTGTGGTCATCCTGCCTGCAGTGCTGCTACTGTTGTGAGTAAAACATTTGCTGTCTTCGGGGAGCCTTCTTTGTGTTTGGGTGACAAGAATGTGCCACTTTCCAATAATTCAATAAAACGTATTAGTTTATTCAAAAAACACTTATGGAGCCTGATGATCTAAGCAGGAACACGAGTCCAACACCCATCACACAAGGCACTGTGCCATGGAGACACAGCCACTAAGTCCCAGTGAGGGGTAGAGAGGGAATACCTCATGGCCATCGAGGTAGTTGCTGAGCCATCCATAGCATTTGGTCAATTCCTGTGGCCACTATCATGGAATGGAACACCATTATTATTATAATCTTATTCTCCAGAAATGTAAATAATCTTGAAAAGGGATTTCACAATTCATTTGAGTCACTTGGGCTCATTTTGGTTTAAAGGAATAAAATAAAAGTGAGCAGATCCAGGGCTCATAGCTAGATACACTGCAGAATACCTCCTCTCATTCTTACCTCCCTCGGTGCCATCACTAGGGCAGAGAATTCCAGGTCCATGGTGATGCAGCAGAAAGTCAGAGAAAGGAAAGGAAAGCATCCCCTTCCAGTGCTCCTGGCTTGAACACTCATGGATACATCTGTCCTTAGCAGAGGTGTCAGTGGTAGCACACGTCTGGCCTGGGAACCTCTCATTTCCACCACCCATCTCAGCAGGGAACATGGCCTGAACAGCCGAAAAGCCAGCTGGGAAAGAAATACTCACACTCCTGTGTTGTTCTCTCCTAGCATGCTCATCTATTACCTCCAGAGCATCGCGCGGTCATTAAAGCTCAGCAACCAGCAGCTCAAAACGCAGATCCAAAATGCAAGTATTGGGTGAACTCTGCTATTATGAGTGTGTGTCAATCTCATGACTGAGATCCCACGGGCACAGGAATACAAGTGAGGTCACAGCTTCAAGTTACTGTGACTCTTAACCACTCCCTACGGTGGAAGGTCACCACTCCTAAGATCTCCCAGAGTTATTTATTTATTTTAAGGGACAGGGTGGTTCAGTTGCCCAGGCTGGAGTGCAGTGGCACAATCATAGGTCACTGCAGCCTCAACCTCCTGGGCTCAAGTGATCCTCCCTCCTTAGCCTCCCACATTGCTGGGACTACAGGTGCACATCACCACATCCAATTTTTTTTTTTTTTTGTAGAGACGAGGTCTCCTTATGTTGCCCAGGCCAGTCTTGAACGCCTAACCTCAGGTGATCCTCCCACCCCAGCCCTCCCAGAGTTATTTTTTTTTCCCCCAGAGTTATTTCTAAGAATACCCAGGGACAGCTCGTATTTGCCAGGAACAAGCCTGCTCCTGCTTGTCCTCTTCTCCAAGGGGTCTTGCGGCTCTCTCCAGCCCTTCAATGCCCCTCCTGTGGCCACAGCATGCCCTCGATGTGCTGGACACTTCCGTGGGCTCTAGTAGATTGGCAGGGAAGAGAAAGGGCCCCTTTTTCATCCCGTGTCAACTTGGACATCTGAGTCCAACAGCACTGTTTGTATCGACTCACTTTTTTCATACCCTTTAGATGTGGCTGTCATGACCTGCTCTCCTATTGGGAGCGCAAACCCTACTGCTCAGAGCAGTCAGAGGAAGACGCTCCCAAATCTTCTATGATTTCTCCTTCTCTGTAAACCCCCTGGGGCTCCCCCAGGGCCAGGAATAGGGTGAGGCCAGCGAGGCCCCAAAAGTGCCACATTTAAGGAGTCTCTCAGGATCATGCTGACCCTGCATTTCCACCACCCTAACAATGAAGCCTTCTTAAATTTAGGATCCAGATAGCTCTTGCCTCCTCTAGGTGCCAGATCCCAACACAAAACACTCCAGACCTTTTTCACTTAAAAACCAAACAAAACTCTTATTCATGCAGAGAAATACAAACTAGTTTCTAGTAAGAAATTCATTTGGGAGTTGCAAAGGGCATTTTTGTGGAAACATGCATTCCTGGTGTTGTTGGTCTATATTTTTTTCTTTATGACTCAGGCAAACTATTTTTAGCAAAATCTAGACATGGTCCATCAATTAGCTGTCCCTAAACAAAACCGGCTGGGCATAAAACTTCAGCTCTCAGGTATCTACATTTATTCACTCAAATAACAGGCCTGAGCCCAGAGCACAATGTTCCCAGGTAGCAATTTTAGTTCAGTCATGGCCCAAGGTAAGAGCAATGGCAAATAAACCTTTTTTCCCCTCAAGAAAAATATTTGTTACTGCTTCCTTCTAAGTGCAAAACCTACATGATTATCATTTTCATTCTAGGCAAGATCAGAAGATAAGAAAAAGGTTGCCCAAATGGTAGAGGGTAAGTGTTTTAAAAATGCAAAGACGTGATGTCTCAGTCAGTGAACATTTTAAAATATGGCAATTGCAGGTAGTTTGAGTGACACTATCAATAAAAATTCCTGATAACCTGTGTTTTTTTTGAGTTGGAGTCTCACTCTGTCGTCCAGACTGGAGTGCAGTGGCCACTCCCGGTCACCACAGCCTCGACCTGCTGGGCTCCAGCGATCCTTCCGCCTTAGCCTTCCAAGTAACTGGAACTACAGGCGCATGCTACAACGCCTGGCTAATTTTTGATTTATTGTAGAGATGAGGTCTTACCAAGTTGCCCAGGCGGGTCGTGAACCCGCTGACTCAGGCAATTCACTCACCTCAGCCTCCCAAGGCACGGTATTACAGGCTGAGCCACCGAGCCCGGCTTGATAACCTGTGTTTTTTTACAATTAACTAAGGCACAGAAAACAAAATCTAGGAATATACATGTTGGTTTAAATCCTCAATTTTTATATCCTATCCAGACCTGTGAATAACCCCAAAACATGTCTGAAATCAATTTGAAGGAAGTTTTGAAGTAGGAGAGAAAGGAAGTACATTAATCTGGAGAAAACCCCAAAGAATATCTCCAGCCACTTTTTCGTGCTATCTCTTGGTGGCCCAGCTCTCCCTTGCAATACCCCCCACCTAGGTCCCTTCCCCCCCACCTAGGTCCCTTCCTGGGGTCCACTCTCCTTAGGCTCACTCTCTGTTCCATCCCTGTAGAGCAATGCCTGATGGGCAGGCCCAGTCACGAAAGTAGACCCGAGGAAGGAATCCAAACCCATCGGCTCTAAGGACACACTTCCTCTTCCCATGCTCTCCAGTGGCATCTGGATACACTGGTTCCCAGTCAGCCTCATAAAAGAAAGAGCCACCCCACAGAAAAAATGGAAGCAGGAGGAGCAGAAGTCTGGTGTGGGCTGAAGGGAAGAAAGTGAGCAATTGTCGCTCAAATAAAGCGAGCCTGCCTCTTACTTAGGACCACTCACAGAGTGTACTGTGAGCTAGAAGGCTCATCGAGCACCACAAACTGACCCAGCCTGCAGGAATGAGAAAGGAACCCTCAAAGGCTCTAGGGGCTGACTCTCTGAGCTGTTTTCTAAGCTAACCAGAAGGGACTTTTTCCCCTACAGGAAAATGCCAGAGTCAGAGCCCTGAGGCCTAAGAGTTATGCTTGCTCCTTCTACTTTTCAGAGAAGCCTATCATTGACAATTACTAGGGGAAGTGGCTGTGGCTGGTGCTATAAAATTTCACTGTAATAGTCAAGGATTATTTGCCACTTAAGCATAATTATGTAGAGTTCAGGTGACCTTCAAAAGGCAAGAGCCACACAGACTTTCTCAAAACCACAATAGCATTGTCCAATGATCATTTTCCAGCATAAGGCCACATCTTTTTTCAGAATGCCATGTGAACTGTTTCCAAAACCCCATAATCATCATCTTAGCTTGATTATCTCCACTTATGGGTAAGGAACCAGAACCCAAAGCTGTTAGGTACCTGTCCTGCCACATGGGGAGATCAGATGGTGTACTCTGAAGCCTCAGGTTCCTTGGATTTTTCTGACATTACCAGCTCCAAATGTCTGGGGTGAAATTATTTGAATTAAACAATGCTTGCTGCCAATTAGGTGTTTTTGAAAGTGCACCCAATTGTTTGCAGACCCTCTGTTGGAAGTCATGGAACTCTTGCAACTCAAGTCACCTGAATATGCCACCTACTTGGAAGTAGTGCCTTTTCGTTTTTTGTTGTTTTTTTTTTGAGTTGGAGTCTCACTCTGTCGCCCAGACTGGAGTGCAGCGGCCGCTCCCGGCCACCGCAGCCTCGACCTGCTGGGCTCCGGCGATCCTTCCGCCTCAGCCTTCCGAGTAGCCGGAATTACAGGCGCGCGCTACCACGCCCGGCTGATTTTTTGATTTATTGTAGAGATGGGGTCTCGCTGCCCGGGCGGGTCTCGAACCCGCAGACTCAGGCAATCCACTCACCTCAACCTCCCAAGGGCGCGGGAGGACAGGCTGAGCCACCGAGCCCGGCAGTAGTGCCTTTTCATAAGTCCTCCTCTCCCTGCAGCCCGAATCCAGACCCAGGAGGAGAGTACCAAGAGACTTCCAAAGGATGGTGATCTTATCAGCCAGCTGTCCTCAGCCACACCCCAAGATAATGGCAACACGGTCCATTTCAACTCAGTAAGCAAGATAGAGACCGTCACCCAGCCTGTGCCCCACAGCCCCAGGCTAGGGCTCAGGGATCCCAGCTCACCTCTTCCTGGGGCCTCCAAATCCAGGCCAGAGCACAATACTAACAGGTGAGACTTTACTGCAACAGGGAGGGAAACCTGGCCCCTTTGAATGTGGTACCAGCCCTGGTCCAGAGGCCACAGAAAGTGTAGTGAAAGAGTCGTTGGGGACTTTAAGGCCTCAATGAGGCCACGGAAGTCCAAGGCTGTTAATTTCTAATTCTTCCAGAAGGCAAGGGGTCAAGAGACTGACAACTGGTAATGAGAAGAAATGGAGGCAGTGGGAGGTGGGGAGTTGTCAAAGTTTGTCAAATAGGACAAATTCTTCCTCCTAAGCGATCTGCCTTATAACCTATAAGCAAACATTCCAGACAACTTAGGATAAACATTTCTGCAGCCTAAAAAAATAGAAAAATAAAATGCCTTTGTAACTGTTCATCTTTTAGTTGCAGGCTGGCCATATTATTGGAAAGAACTTCCATATTTTAGCTCCAGGTTTGGCAAGACAATCTATGTATTATATGGGGCCAACTGTTTCAGTCTTTTTTTTTTTTTTTTTTTGAGTTGAGGTCTTACTCTGTCACCCAGGCTGCAATGCAGTGGCAGGATCATGGCTCACCACAGCCTTGACCCTCTGGGCTCAGACAATCCTTCTACCTCAGCCTCCTGAGGAGCTGGGACTACAGGTGTGTGCCACCATGCCCAACTATTTTGTTGTTGTTGTAGAGACAAGGTCTCACTATGTTGCCCAAGCTGGTCTCAAACTCCTGGGCTAAGGCAATCCTCACACCTCAGCCTCCCAAAGTGCTGGGATATAGGCATGAGTCACCGTGCCCGGTCCATTGTTTCAGTCTTATGTAAAAGAAAGAAGAATCCTGCTTCCTTTAATGGAGATAGAGCGTCTGAAAGGATGGAGGGGACAGACCCAGGCTGGCCCACACTCATGTGAAGAATTACATTTAATCTGAATGTAACACAGTGAAAGTGATATAGATTAAACAAAGAGGTTTTTATTTTTTTTTTAAGACAATGACTAGGTTAGAAAAGACCTAAAATGTTGAAATAAGAGGAAATGTCTTCATGTCGGTGGGATCTTAACAAGGAGGAGGGATTCAAACACTGCTAGGAGGCCCCTGGGGTCAACCCAGAGTCATGGGCAGATTCAAGCTTTATGGGGAACTTTGTAATATGTATAACTCCCCTAGTGGAAACTCAGGGAAGTGGCCGAGAAGCAGGACAGCTGCTTAGCAGAGATGAAGATCTGTGTTCCTAACATGTGCTCCACAAACAGCAGTCCCACTGTGTGCTTCTTGACAAAAAGAGGGCTCCATGATGAAATACATTAGCACAACACCCCTTACCCTGCCCCCTCCATGGTGATTCTTGGGACACATCATTGTACTAAGGGTTCTGAGAATTCCAGAAGTCAAAGAACCTGTTTAATCCAGTTCTTCAAATGTTTCTGTGCACACAACCCACAGAACACCCATTAACTCCTTGGAACCAGACTCAGTGACAATACTGAGAAAACCGGTTACAGCTCAGAGTGCTCAGGTGTCGGGCTCTGAGACCACCAAGGCCAGGTCTATTTAGCCACCTCTGTCTTACAGGTATCCACGTGGCCTGTGTGCAAGCATGGGTGACCTTCACAAGAACAGATCACGTACACCCGTGACGTTTATGAAGCACCTCGAAGATGTTCACTCAGAACCTCTTTTCCGAAAAGACTTTCAGCAAATCAGCCCTCCCCTTGATAGACCAAGGGTCTCAGTCTCGGGGTCACAGGGTCATAGGCCCCATGCCCCCACATACTATATCATTAATGAATGCAACTCTCACCAAAAAACCCATCCAACCTTCTGGCCAGAAAGACATTTCAAGGTAGATGCCTCAGGGGACATTGTGGAGATGCACCCCAGGAACATGCGACCCTATGTGTCTCAGGTCCCGCCCCAGCCTTGCTCTCCACAGCTCAGTCAAGAGGAAGAGGAGATACTGAGGAGAGACTGGATCAAACGGTCCTTTCCCCAACGTTCCCGGAAAGATCTCCACTGGGCTCCTTGTTTCTACATTGGGGGAAGGTCAGACAGTCAAACCCTAGCTCCCAAGCACCAGGGAAAGGCACACTACAAGTCTTGGAATGATGGTTTTGAAGTTCAACCTGACAGGCCCACATATGTGCATAAAAAGCCACGCTCCCGGTACTTCCAGTATCCACAAGCCCCTCTGAAGCCCAAAGTCAAGCCCAGGTTTGAGCCATCCCTCACGGAATCTGATTCCATGTCAGTAGCATCTAGCAGCGACCAGCAAAACAGCAGCACTGACCAGTACCTGCAAGTCATTCACAGCCAGAGCAAGTTCCCCAGGTCTGTGGGCCAAGCCAGCAGGAGGAGGGCCAAGTTGGGGCAGGAGCTGACTGCAGATCTGGATGACCTGATTTGTTCAAATGTTTAGGCTTCCCCTCAGCATTTATTCATAGAGATCAGGTTCTTATCGACATGCTGGGCCAGCACGTGCCTCTCTCCGTCTGGAAAAAAAGAGATGAACAAGAGTGATTTGTTAAGAGACCTGTTGAGATTGTCCAGACATGTCCCTTGGCTGATGGCTGAGGCCCTGAGACTCACGCATTACTGTAACGCCAGAGGTTGGGTAGAGAGCCCCTTGTTCATAGCACGGAAAGCCAGTCACTGAGGCAATGGGTACTACCAGAGAGTGGTATCAGTCAAGAACAGAAGATCAGCCTCAAATCTGTCTCCCCAGCTGATTGAAATTGGAGGTTCATGAAGTGGGGGAAGGAATGTAAAACACCAATTGGGGAAGGGTAAGGAAGCAATCGTATTGAGTGAGGGATCGGGCGTCTCACTGTCCGGATGCAAAGTTATGGTGAGTTTCAGACCCTTCAGGCTTCTGAAGAGGGAACTCAGATAAAGCAAATGTAAATTTAAGTCTGGGAGGGTCCAGCTGGGTGCAGTGGCTGACGCCTATAATCGGGAGGATTGTTTGAACCCAGGAGTTCGATAACAGCCCAGGTGGAAAGAAAGAGAGAGAGAAGAAAGAAAGGAAAAGAAAGGGAAGGAAAGGAAAGGAAAAGACAGAAAAAGACTGGGAGGGTCAATTTCTGTTTATTTTTAAAAATTCATAAATATTAGTTCTGTGGGGGACATTGGGCCGGTATCAACAGGCCAACCACACACACGCTGGTCCTTTCCACAGTCTCCTTGCATCTAGCACACAAGCACATCAGACCATTATTTCAAGAAAACTTCAGTCCTTTGTCTCTTTTGGGGATGACCACAAATCAAGGCAAGTCAGGCATCTCCTTCTGACACAGAAACCTCACCCGAGGTGTTTGTGCCTGTCCTTAACTGTTTGTGTTGTGATGCTCTCTTTCTTTTTTTTTTTTTAGTTGAGTCTCACTCAGTCACCCAGACTGGAATGCAGTGGCCGCTCCTGGCCACCGCAGCCTCGACCTGCTGGGCTCTGGCGATCCTTCCACTTCAGCCTTCCAAGTAGCTGGAACTACAGGCACGCGCTACCACACCCGGCTAATTTTTTTTAATTTATTGTAGAGATGGAGGTCTCGCCAAGTTGCCCAGGCGGGTCTCGAACTCGCAGGCTCAGGCAGTCCACTCACCTCGGCCTCCCAAAGTGCTGGGATTACAGGTTGAGCCACCGAGCCCGGCCAATGCTCTCTTTCAACACACAAAAGTCAGTCCACCATCATAAGCACCAGGAAATCGAGTGGCCACCCTTCAAAATGTCACAATGCTTAGGTTAGCTGTGTGATGACGAGAGTACCTGATGTCTTCTGTTTATTGGGCATATAACTGCAGAAATTAGTCAGGACATTTGAATTAGAAATAACCTAAGATGTATACCTAAGGTTTACTGATTGGTTCAACTGGGAAGGATGGGACTGAAGCTGGCCTTGGGTCCCACTGGAGCCAGGGCCTCAAACATCTGCAGAAATTGCTTCTCACCTCTCCTCTCTATTTTTGTTGACTTCATATCTTCCTACTGCCAACAGGTTTCCTCCCCGTGGTAGGAAACACCAGGCTTACACCATCCAGCTACTAAGCCCAGAAGGAAGAACTGAACGGTCCCTCCCCCAATTCCCTTTAACTTCACCTCTATGGGCTGGAACCATTTGGTCCTTCTGCTGGCTTTATGCGAGGTTGGGCCAGCAGGATTTGGTCCGTCTGCCATGGTCCACTAGGAGTGTGCCCTGACTTGTATTTCCATGATAACACTTTAAACACCACACTGTCTTTTTTTTGAATTGGAGTCTCACTCTGTCGCCCAGACTGGAGTGCAGTGGCTGTTCCCGACCACCGCAGCCTCGACCTGCTGGGCTCCGGCGATCCTTCCGCCTCAGCCTTCCAAGTAGCCAGAATTACAGGCATGCGCTACCATGCCCAGCTGATTTTTTTATTTATTGTAGAGATGAGGTCTCGCTGCCCAGGTGGGTCTCGAACCCGCGGGCTCAGGCAATCCACTCACCTCAGCCTCCCAAAGGCATGGGATTACAGGCTGAGCCACCGAGCCAGGCACCACATTGTCTCTTTAAAACTTCCGTCTCCTCTATCAGATTGTGTCTTCAGAGCAAGAATGGTGTTTCGTTCATTTCTGCATCCTCAGTAACTGACACGTCATAGATTTCTATTTGCTGCATAACAAATGCAGTGGTTTAAAAGAACACACATTTGTCAGCTCACAGCTTCCATGGGTCAGGAGTCCAGGCCCAGCTTCACGGGGTCCGGAGCTCAGGGTCTCACCAGGTTGTAATACAAGTATCAGCCACAATTGGCAACTAAGGTTCAATGTTGTTTTCCAAGCACACAGGATTGTTGGCCGAATTTGCTTCCTTGAGGTTCTGGGATTGAGGCCCTCAGCTCCTTCCACAGAACCTTCTCCATAACATGGCTGTTGACATCTTTAAAGCCAGCAAAAGTGTATCTTTTCAGCTGCAAGTCTGTCTTTTTTTTTTTTTTTTCCTTCTGGAAAAGGTCTGAATCCACTTTTAAAAGGGCTCATCTAATTAGGTCAAGCCCACTTAGATCATTTTCCTTTGAATGAACTCAAATTTAACTGAATGGGGATCTTAATTACATCTTCAAAATCACTTCACTTTTACTACATCTGGAAGCAAAATTTATCATATTCACAAGTGCCAGCACTCCCATGGGGAGGGTATTATATTGGCTGTGTATAGCTGGAGGCAGAAATTGTGGAAACCTACCACAGATAATAAATATCTTTTGAATATGAAGAGTAGATGAATAAACAAATGAACTGTACTAAAGAATGAATTACAAATGACATGGTTTCAGGATTGTAATTCAAGAGTTCAGTATAAACACCGCCATTTAAACACGCACACTTTTTAAATCCCTTCCCAAATTTATATGAAAAGGAGTGTATATATTTCAAATGTCTTGCCATGATAAATTCAAAAGTTTACAGTCTGCTCAAGGTTAAATGTTCTACCATGCCAAGGAAATGTCCTTTTGTGACAGAGGTGCTCATAGGAGTTCCATTATGCAAATCTTCTCTTCCAGGTATTAGTGTAGGACTGCAGCTTTTTTTTTTTTTTTTTTTTTTTTTGAGTCAGGGTCTCACTCTGCAGCCCAGGTTGGAGTGCAGTGGCACAATCACAGCTCACCACGGCCTTGACTTCCTGGGCTCAGGCAATCCTTCTGCCTCAGCCTCTCAAGTAGCTGGGACTACAGGCATGTGCCACCTGCCCAACTAATTTTTTTATTTTTCGTAGAGATGAGGTCTCACTATGTTGCACAGGCTGGTCTCAAACTCTGGGCTCAAGCGATCCTCCTGTCTCAGCCCCCCAAAGTGCTGGGATTACAGGTGTGAACCACTGTGCCCAGCTGGGACAGTAGCCTTGAGCTCTGTGGGACATTACAACCTATTTTGGAAAAACCTGCCTCCAGTTACTTATGGGAGCACCTACGTCTGTGTGGAGTGGGGAGATGCTCCATTAGGGACTTCAGGACAAGCAGGCTCTGAAACATTCCTGAGGAAACTTGAGAGTTGCCTGTATACACCCAGGGTGGAAAGTGAGTATCCACTTTCAGTGCACAGCCCAGCTCACATGCACTCTGGCACTTACTGTTGGGTTATGTCTTAACTTAGAGAAATGTGAAACCCACAGAACAGTGCACAGACTATTGTGACAAGCACCAATATTCCCACCTGAAAGTCAACAAATGTGGAAATTGAAATTTTATTTCCATTTAGCCATTTTGTTACTATTAATGGTGAAAAGGGAACACTTCTACACTGTTGGTGGGAGTGTAAACTAGTGCAACCTCTGTGGAAAGCAGTGTGGCAATTCCTAAAAACTCTAAAACTCAACCTCCCATATGACCCCGCAATCCCCCTACTGGGAATATACCCTGAAGAACTCAAATCACTCTATAAAAAAGATACCTGCACACGTATGTTTATCGCAGCGTTGTTCACAATAGCAAGAACCTGGAAGCAACCATGCTGCCCATCAAAAGAGGACTGGATTAAAAAAATGTGGTACATATACTCGATGGAATACTACGCAGCCATAAAAAAGAACAAAATCATGAATTTTGCAGCAACCTGGATGGAACTAGAGTCTATATAATATTGAGTGACCTCTCACAGAAACAAAGATCCGAGTATCACATGTTCTCACTCATATAGTGGACCTTGAACATCCAATGTAATACTATAAGCAAATGACTGACAGTACTGGGAAACTATGGGGGGGAGGGAGATGGGATTAACAGTAGCAAATATCTGTCTGGGGACGGGGAAACACCTCTTATCAACAGGGTGCCTGAATGAAACGTAATTGTATACCTAACCCTTAACTGTACCCCACAAAACCATAATAAAAAATATTTTAAAAATAATAATAAAGAAAATATTACAGATATAATCAAAGCCCACTTGAATCCCCACACTAAGCCTCATTCTCCTCACACTACTAAGAATTGTAGCGTGAAGAATCCTCACACACTAATCAACAATTGGTTGAATGTCCATAGTTATATATGTTTGTGGGTGTGGGTGTGTGTGTGTAAATACATATCCACAAGTATTCATCATATTTTACTTGAGTGAACGCTATTATTCTGCATGTATAATTGCAAATATTTATGTTTCGAGGTTTATCAAAGAAATATATACAAGGGAGGACCCCAAAAAACCCATAATTTATTCATAAAAAATTGTGTATTTATTCTTACATGTTTGAACTTCATCACCTTCAAAATACATTCCATCTGATGCAGTACACGTATCAAGATGCTTTTTTCCACTGCTCAAAACAGTTTTTGAACTCATCAATTTGGATGCCTTTTAGTGCTTCTGCCATTTTTGTTTCTCTTCTTCCACATTGGCAAATTGTTTCCCTTTGAGGGCTTTTTTCATCAAAGAAATAAGAAAAAGTCACTTGGGGCAAG